CTGTCTGGCTTTCCATACAATAATTAAGGCATGGCTTTCATTTGGTTTGATAAATGACTTTAGAATTGAAGGAAAAATTTAAACCCCCATTTTTATTTTATAAACTCACTATTTATTCCGAATATTAGTTGTGGTATTCATTAATTAGTGTTTTTGTTGGCAATTCCCATAATACAAATCAATAACAGATCATATAAGTGGGAGAGACAATCAGGTTAGCCATTTAAATGAAAGGATACAATTTTTATGTGAAAGGAAATAGTTTTGTGAAGCGTTTTAAAAGAGCATCTTGAATTGCTTGTTTTGACATCTCTCGTGGGATTAAGATGTTGGTCACTTGGCACGTGTTCAAATGAAAGCCTGGACACTCGTTGACTGTTCATTTGCAGGAATCATCCTGAGATTTGACGAGACATATGGTTTCCTTTTGTGATGGCTCTGTTTTAATCCGTCCTGAGGTTTGTTTTGATACGCAGCCCGTTCATTGTTCCTGCAAAATCTTTACTTTGTATTTTAAAACTAACTTTTCTTTAGCTAGTCACATGGTACTCAAAGAAGGTGCTGCTTTAAAAGAATATATTTTTAGCTTTCATCTCGTGCCAAGTGAGGGTAGCAGATGGACTGTGCGTGGTTTATTGGGGATGGGGTCTCCACTCACCAGGATACAAGGCTTAATTCCCTCCAAAAGTGTGTCATCTGTCTGGGACACGGACGTCCAATGATGCTGGTGTGGGATCCACGTTTATCAACTTGGTTCTGGTCATTTTGATTTTAAGGTTGTGCGATTAATTGTAAATGATTTTCGATTTAGTTTAGCGTACAACGAACAAGATAATCAAAGTAAAATGATCCAACGTCCAAAACGGCTGAGTAAGTAAGTGTTGTAAAATTCGGTCTACTGTCGCTAAACAGCGGGACGTGCCTGATGTGGAACAATGTCATTTAAAGCAAATTAAGAAAGAGTCGCTTCCCCACGTGGATTTCTGTGTGCCAAACGCGCATAAGCAAAGTATACTGTGGGCTTCACATACGTGCCTAAGCGGTCAAATAGCCTACATGCACAAATGTCAAGATGCCGTTTTAAGTATCCTCGTAAACCCAGTCGTTATGTCTTAGGTGAATGTAAACCGCTGAGAAAGAACACGCGTGTAACCGTATTTTGGATCCATGCATTTGCTCTTAAAGTGTCAGCAGCCTAATATCACTGCTTGAGTTCAGTGTCATGAATGTTAATCAAACAATAACAGACAAAGATAAAATCACTCACTGTACCTGAATGAATAACTCTTGTAGCTTTAATAAGGATAAATCTATATTTATTGTATAAGGTTGGATTACTTTATTCAGTTTCTGTTGTAGGTTATTAGTTATTTGAATACCACTGTTAGGACATCTCCCTAGAAAACTTTAATCACTGTTTTAGTTTTTATCTTTTTTGTTGTATTTTGTAATTCGTTTCTTTGTCTTGTGCTGCCGACTGTTAACTTGTAACCTGTAACTGTTTTGAGGACTGTAACTGTTTACTTGGCCATTAATCTAGTATTAGTTTTTGCTGACGTAGCCTAATAAACCCATCCATAATTGTGAATAATTGTTTTACTGATATCTAAAATGACTCATCTCATGACTAATCTTAATTTCAATATCGACCACAATAATTGTGATTTATGATTTTTGCCATAATCCAGCAGCCCTACTTTGAATTGCTTTAATATAGGTTAGTTATAGTAATAATTGAATTGTCCTGACTTCATTTTTTTGGTGACATTAAGTAATAATAAGCCATTGCATTTTGGGTATAGGCATTGGTAAAATATGTTATTTCTTTTTAAATTGCATTGCTATCTAGAGTCATGTAATCTTGATAGAATTTCTGTAAATCATAGTTTTTGTGAATTATCATTATCGTGCTTGAATGCACCACTGTTGATCTCACACCGTGATCGGCCATCTGCTCTATTGTTAATTTGAGGGTTAATACTGAATTGGGTTTCTATTGTGTGCCGAGCGTGTGTGTTTTAAGAGTGTTTTGGGAAACCCTTCATCTACTGGTGTTGAAACTGAAGTCCCCATCCCCCCTAAAGCGGGTCATGTGAGTTTATGTAAACTCTGTGGTTTCACTTCTTTAAGGGTTTCACATATACATTCACTTTGCTCTCTCTTTCTCCCTAACACTGCATGGCATTTGAGATTCACTTTTAGTAAAGCTAAAACAGATTACAAAGAAAGCAACGGTTAATGGCAAATATTGGAGTGTTGAGGGGATTTTCTTTTTTATTAATAAAATGCATAATGAAATAAAATATAGGCAGGGTTAACACTCAAAAGTTTCTTTAAAACACTGATTTAAAAATGAATATACATGTTTGATACTGTAAATTGCAATGTTATGATGCCAAAATTGACTTGTATAATATACCTTAATTTCATTTTTTTTTAAATCTATGTAGACGCAATTCTGTAGAATTTGAATATTATGTAATCATTATTAGCCATAACATCAAATGATTCCAGTATTGGCTAGATTCGTAATTGTTCCTATACGAACAATGGGACAGGTCAATTAGATGTTGAGCTATGCATAGCTAAATTGCAGTGAAAAATTGTGAATTCTGTGCCACTAGCATCACCATGTGGATTTGCAAAAAGAAAAGCCATTTTTAAACCAGTTTCTGGTTTAAAAGTTCTACAAATGAATCTCGCCTATAAAAATGAGTAGAAAGATGTAATCTGTATACTCTCCTGGCATGTCGTTGACTAAAACTGCCTATCGATCATGTTCTCTGGGCATCATGAAATGTTAATTCCCTGGAGGAATAAGGACACGTTATACCCTGAGCAAGCTTCGCTCAATATCTCGGGTAACATCGTTACATCAGGGTCGGTCTCATTAACTTTTGACATCAGCCAGCAGCGAGTGTCCAGGCCGAGGGTTAGCGATACATGCGCCGCTCGGATAACCTGCTCTAATGTTAATGTTCTCCTCAAGAGTTTTCTTTCTTTACAGGCTCCTTTGGTCTTGTTCTGTTTTAATGTCGGTTAGTTTTGCTTGTTCGTCAATGGCTATACTTTTTTTTTAGTTTCAAGCTTCATACAAACGCAACAGAAAAAGTTAGAGATAGTTCACCCAAAATGAAAATGGTCATTTACTCGCCCTCATGTCATTTTAAACCCTGAAGACTGTGTTCGTCTTCTCAACGCAAATTAAGATATTTTAATGAAACGTTTTTTCGAGATTTCTGTCCCTCCTTTTGAAAGTCGATTCAACCAAAACTTTGACACTAATGTCGCGTCCCAGGCAACCTGTAACTTGCGCCCGTGAAAGTGCACTGGAATGGCAGTCAAACCTGTGACTTCCCACCCGTAAACTAGATCGATGTACTCCCAGTTACGAGCTCTGACGTCACCTAGCCTGCGAAACTATACAAAACAACGACAGCCCCTACAGATCCCTATGGAATTAATAATAATACACACACAATTATGTATTACAATATTATGTGCCTGAAACAATAAGTATGTATATTGTGCTCTGGTAGTTTGGCGTGACTGGCCTGGAACGCTACAAAGCCGTGATTTACGTGCTCAAAAACCTGCCTGGAACGCAGCGTTAAACTTCATAAAAACGTTGTAAAAGTAATCCATGAATTGAGAGGTTTTGGTGGAATGGACTTTCCCTTTAAGGGTCACAAGGTTGCTACATTTAAAGAGACAATAACTTTTTTTAATAGATTTACATTAAACAAATAAAAACGTGTCAGAATATGCAGTAAATGGAAGTATTTAAATATATTTTGCTTCAAAACAACCTTCTGGGAACTCTTTGCATGATCACTATCGATTTAAAAGATTTTCTTTTGTCAAATACACTTTTTTTCTTTATAGTCAGTTGTTACTAGTGCAAGTTGGACAAATAGTTCTCTATCAAATAGGACCACTGCTGCAGGACAAATGTACAAAAAGAATTGAGTCCGTTTGAAAATGATTATCAAGACCATTTGTGAGAAGTGACTGCAGGTTGCTGGTGGAGTCTGGCACGTGTTTGAGTCTTTCGAGTCCCTTTTCAGAGACCGTTAAACCACAGGGGGCCACAACTTCATTCATCACATATCAAGTCTGTGCGAGTCCTGTTCCTGTCACGTCACCATGTCTGTTTCTCATCCCATGTTTCTTTTTTCAGAACTACTGAAGGTCTGTGTGCTTGTCTGATTGACTGATAGCGTTCTTTATCTTGAGTGTGATGTAGTCGAGCGACAGTAGGTCATAGGCTCCTGTCCTGTGCTGCATGTGTAAATGTTGATATCTGATGTGAAATCAATCCCTGAATGAAACGTCTTTTTATAACGTTCAATTGCCCTGTTCGTCTCATAACATCGCATGATGACCGGGGAAGAGATTATGCACTGTAAGTAGAGCTGGGCGATGTACAGGGAAATGCTAATTAAAATTTTTTTTTTTTTTTACCCTTTTAGATATCAGCACACATTTTTGCTACAAAACTGGTAAAATAGTCGCGTTAAAATAATTAGGCATGTTTTTTTCACTGCTGCACAAATGTCATTTCCAGGAACATTTGACTTGAGATACTTGTTGAAGTCTTCTTTTTTAAATGACAATCTTGAGCTGATTCATGGAAATGAATCAGACTGACATACATTATACTGCCTAATTTTCATTGCGAATATATTGTGTATATTCAATATATCGCCCAGCCCTAACTGTAAATACATTTGTCAGTTTCTCTTCGGTTTTCTCATCTCACTGTTATATGTGAATTTTCCGTTAGAGTGGCTTCTTTTATTCGAGTTGCACCGCGTTGTTCGCCGGTTTCAGGCGACCGGCGCAAAACATCTCAAATAAAAGAAACGATGCCCTTCGATTTTCCCCTCATGGTACTTCATCTTGGTATTTTTGAATGAATCATGCCCCATGTTTATCATTTTTTTGTTTCTTTGTGTTTGTTTTTTGTTTGTTTTTGTTTTTTTACTTTCTGTGCACAGCAATTGCTCTGAAATTTGGGGACTGAGTACACCAAATACGATAGAACAGTGGGATACCTCAGGCCTTTACAGCTACCCTGACCAAACCAGGTGAATATCCTCTGCTGACATTGTGCCACACTCACCCCACAAGCCACAGGTGGGGATGAACGAGCACAGGGGGCTCCAGGGGCCGTGAAATAACCTGCTTTAATATTGTTGATTTAGATTTAAATATATTAATGATGGCATCACTTATTTTAATTCTGAGTGTTACAATAGATTAAAAGCAGATCGACACATTTTCATAACTCATACATACACTTAACTAAAGAAACAGTTTAAACGGTGGTTCTCAACTTGATTGACTGATTTTACTCTGAAATGGTGACCCAACCCATTTCCAAATTTATGCAGAAGTAAATGTCTTTTTTTTTTTTTTACCTGGATTTGGGGTTTGCAATTTTTTTTTTTTTTTGAAAGACCTTAATACTTTTATTCAGCAAACATACATTTAATTGATCAACATTTACCAGTTAAAGATATTTATAATGTTTCAAAAGATTGTGATTTCTTATAAATGCTGTTGACCTTTCTAGCCATAGAACCCTGAAAATGGCCATCACAGTTTCTGCAAAAATATAAAGCAGCAGGACTGTTTTAACATTAATAATCAAATGTTTCTTGAGCATCAAATCATCATATTAGAATGTTTTCTGAAGGATCATGTGACACTGAAGACTACAGTAATGATGTAGAAAATTCAGCTGTGAGCACTGGAATAAATTACAGTTTATGATATATTCGCATGTACAGCTATTTTAAATTGTTATATTACTGTTTTTGTGTTCTTGATCAATTAAATGCAACCAAGAGACTTTCATAAAGATTTAAAAAATCTCACTGACTCAACTTTTGAATGGTTGCGTATTATATAGTTATGCCGTTTGATTGGATGCATATCAAAATTAGGGCCCCACTTTATATTTGGTTTCTAACTACTATGTACATGCATAAAAAAAAGAAGGTTGGGTTAAGGTGTTAGGAAAGGGTCAACCGTCTAATTGTAGATTAATTACACTACAATTCATTTCTGTAATTACGATGCAGTTATTTTATTTTTAATATAAGTACTCTGTAAAAACATGTAAACAATAAATGCATTGTATCATATGATTCATTTAAATGTTAACACCGTAGTCAATGACACTTAATATAAAGTGGGACCAAATTAATATTAGGCTCACACACACATTTTAAGACTTTGCACTGTTGTATAGTTAGTTGCTTTTAAAATGTTTTTTTCCTTCTCCCTTGATGTATTCATCCCATTATTTTTTGGGTCACAACAACCCAACAGTTGAGAACCATTGATTTAATATAATATTGTGAATAAACATTCAGGAGTTTTAATCGTAATGGTTTAACCTTGCATCTTGGTCATGATTTGCTGTCTAATCGCATCACCTTCCCTCTTCCCTCCATCCATGCATGTCTTTCTCTTGTCATTTTGCACACTCCCTTCTCCATTTCTCTCGCCCTGTCCCTGTGGATGCTCGGGTCAGATCTCTGGACGGGCGTCTGCAAGTGTCTCACCGTAAAGGTCTGCCTCATGTCATCTACTGCCGCCTGTGGCGATGGCCCGACCTGCACAGCCACCACGAGCTGCGCGCCATCGAGACCTGCGAGTACGCCTTCAACCTCAAGAAGGATGAAGTCTGCATCAACCCCTACCACTACCAGCGGGTGGAGACGCCAGGTGTGGAAATTGGCAGCTGAGTTGCCAAGAAAAGATTCAAGTATTTTTTTACTGAACGCTTCCAAATGTGTGAGATTTGAACCGAGTGTTCATTGAGTCCTCTCGATTCTGAATGTTTCTCCTGTAGTTCTTCCGCCCGTCCTCGTGCCAAGACACACAGAGATCCTGACTGAGCTCCCTCCTCTGGATGACTACACCAACTCCATACCTGAAAACACCAACTTCCCAACAGGGATAGAGCCCCCTAACAATTACATACCAGGTAGGAACGCCAAATCATTTCATGCCAAAGACCTTATGTGCAATTTTGTGTAGTTTAAGGCCTAATGACTATAACGATAACAAAAAAAAGTCCACAAAAAGACTATAATGATGGCACAGAGAAACAATATCGTTGGACTCCCTTTCAGAATGATTTTATTTAACTGATGAATGAGCCAATCCGAATCCATTCTGCTTTAAAGAACTTGACCATTTTAAACTGCAGCATGCTTGAAATAAAGAAACATGGTGTGGACAGGAATATAGTTATTTTTATAGTTCTCTTTCTTGGTGTGAACTGGCCTTTAGAGTTAATTGGTGATTTTTGTTTTTGATTTCTAAATGTATTCAGAAACTCCTCCCCCGGGATACATTAGTGAGGATGGAGAGGCCAGCGATCAGCAGATGAATCAAAGTATGGACACAGGTACATTCCCACAGTGACAACACTACATGGGTATGACAGCCGTGTGTGTGTGTGTGTATGTTTTAGACTCTAAAGCACAATCCACTTTTACTGCTGTAGTTTCCTTACCAAGCTCCTTCTAGACTGTAGGATACTGAACCTCTGAAACCTACCTGGACAGAACATGTTTATTATAGACTTGAATACACTACACAACTTTATTATTGACTGGAATACACTACACAACTTTTTCAAATTTGAACCGATTTCAAAACACTAGGCATCATACACATGCCACCTTTGTAAATGCTTACTGAAAAAAAAAAAAAACAAACTAGTCTTCTTCAAACAGTAAACAGTACACTACCAGATTTTCAAGTCGTTACAAACCCAACAAACTCGGGTAGCTGCAAGGCGCACGACAAATGAAAACAAAATGTGATCTAAACTCGGCTCAATGTCAAACATGTTTGATCGCCCATCCAGGCTGGAATTCATGGCAAAAGTCTCCATGCAGTCAACTGTTTTTGCTTCAGGATCCAGATTTTACAGACATCAAGTGGCGACATAACCTGACAGAAGTTATGTTGTGGTAGTAATTCCACCTCACTCAAATTTAATCATACTTAGAATTTTTTTAGTCCCAAATTTCACTTCATGTTTTCTAAATGTATTTCATGGATTTTATTATGAACAAATTCATCAATGAATACGTTATATTTAAATGCAACTCAATCTTCCATTGGAGTGACGGACGTCTCTCTGGTGACTATATCATCTGCAAGTTTCAACTACCGATGGATCGAACCAAGTCCTGTTCTCTATGTTTATGATAATCTGTTTTACTCCGATGTACATCATGACATTGCAACTTATTCAGTTTTCAACTCGGTGTACCAAGAAATTTGTAATTGCTCATACGTAGGGTTTAGGGTCTAAACAGACCCCTAAATTAAACATTAAACTTTAGTTGTGTTTCAGACAGGATGATGCCTCAAATCATGTATATACCATTTTTACATTGGCAAGCACCAACTAAACCAGTTATTTCTTGTTGCTGCCATTATCTCTATTATTGTAAGGAAAAGCTCTTCTTTTTGTCAGGTTCTCCTGCAGAACTGTCGCCAAGCACACTCTCGCCTGTCAATCATGGCATGGGTAAGAGCCGATTAACTGCTTTAACCTCATTCTTGATAGCCATTATATTGACATTTTGACCATTTCTTAAGATTGAGGACTTCAAACCTCTATGTCAACTTGTTTGCTTATATTGGTCTTCCTCATCTCTGTTTTAGACCTGCAGCCAGTGACTTACTCGGAGCCTGCGTTTTGGTGCTCCATAGCTTACTATGAACTAAACCAGCGGGTGGGAGAAACGTTCCACGCCTCTCAGCCTTCTCTCACCGTGGACGGCTTCACAGACCCCTCCAACTCAGAGCGGTTCTGTCTGGGCCTGCTGTCCAACGTCAACCGCAACGCCACCGTGGAGATGACCCGGAGACACATAGGTATCCAAGACATCTTCAGCTGTTCTGCGCTCAAGTGTTTCAATTGAAATTAAGGGACAGTTCATCCAAAAGCTAAAATTGACATCTTGTTTTTGCTTTTGCGTCATTTTGAACCTGTATGATGTGCTTTAGTCTAGTTTAGTAAACTATCAACATAACTTAAAAAAAAAAAATAAATCAAGTTAAAACTCACACATTGTCCAGAATAACCCAGGATTGGTTACCCGCAGTTCAAAATAACCCAGGATTAACTAGTTCAAGTGTGAAAAGCCCTATTGACTTTCTTTAATGAAACAAAATAACATTTTGAAACTGTTTTTTTCTTGTCCATACAATGAAAGTTAATCATGCAGAAACATGAGGATGAGTAAAAGATGAAGAATTTTAATTTTGGTTGACCTGTCCCTTTGTATGTACCAAGACAATTTTAGACTCCAGCAAAATGGTCACATGTACAATATTAAGTTCTCACTGCTGTTTGTCTTTGATCAGGTCGAGGGGTCAGGCTGTATTATATTGGTGGGGAAGTGTTTGCCGAATGTCTTAGCGATAGTGCCATCTTCGTTCAAAGCCCTAACTGTAATCAGAGGTATGGCTGGCACCCGGCAACAGTCTGTAAAATCCCCCCAGGTAAGAGACTCCCTCACTTCCAGTGTCCATGCTACTACAGGTGGGCAGTAAAGTGGTAGACAGAATAAACGGTGACAAACTTGTCATCCAGTTGATTTTTGTCTCTTTCGTGGTTGCGCTCGTGACTTTTGCGGAGCTGCATCGCAAAGTTTATAATTATAAATAAGTTTATAATTTGCATGTGTTTTAAGCCTTACCAGTTTAAATAGTAAAGTCATTTAAAATCGTTCAATCGCAGTAAGCTGTGAAATTACCGGTCAAAAGTTTTGGATTGGTACGATTTTTTTTTTTTAAATGTTTTTAAAGTAAGTCTCTTCTGCTCACCAAGGCTGCATATTAGAATTAAAAATAAATGTTTTCTATATGAATATATTTTAAAATGTCATTTATTCCTGTGGTCAAAGCTGAAAGTTTTAGCATCATTACTGCGGTCTTTAGTGTCTCATGATCCTTCAGAAATCATTCTAATATGCTGATTTGATGCTCAGGAAACATTCGTTATTAATATCAATGTTGATAACCTTTTTTTTTTTCAGGATTCTTTGAATAGAAAGTTCGAAAGAACATCATTTATTAAAAATATAGTCTTTGGTGACATTATAAATATCTTAACTGTCACTTTAGATCAATTTAATTCATCCTTGATGAATAGAAGTATTGATTTCTTTTCACCAAAATATAAAATAAAAATTCTACCTGACCCTAAACTTTCAAAGGGTAGTGTTTAATGTTACAAAAGCTTTCTATTTCAGATAAATGCTGTTCTATTGAACTTTCTATTCATCCAGATGTAAAGATATAACATTGATCTTAATCATAAATGTTTCTTGAGCATCAAAATAATACTAAGAATGATTTCTGAAGGCTCATGTGACATTGAAGACTGGAGTAATGAGGCTGGCAAATTAGTTTTGATCACAGGAATAAATTACGCTGTTTTAAATTGTAATATTTCAGTTGTTTTGTTTTATTTAATAAAATAAATGCAGCCTTGGTGAGCAAAAGTGACTTCTTTTAAAAATCGTACCGATCCCAAACTTTTGACCGGCAGTGTATATGTGAAGCCGCCGGACACACAGCGTCCCAGAACCACTTTGACTTCTTTTTCACTATTTATTGCGCTAAAACCAAAATGCGAGTATTTATAGAAACACATTCGGTATAAAATGTGAAAAGAAATTCACACAGTAAAGTTAAAAAAAACAACAACAAAAAACTGAACTTCTGTAGTATAAATTTAAGCACTGTATTTAATTTCTATCTTTTTTTTTCTTTTGCATTTTTGTCATATTGCTTGTAATTAATTTAACTCTTAATTTATTTCTAATTATTTTCTTGTCTTCCATAACCTTGAACTTTTTACTTGCATTAGTTAGACTAGTATTTGTTTTTACTGTGATTATTAAAAATGGAATTGATAATTATGAAATTTCAACGGTTTCTAAAATGTTGTTGTCGTAGCAACCTTATTTCAGGGGGGGGAAATAATTATTGTGATTTATATATTGTTATTGTGAAATAAAATGACTCGTAAGGTGAGCGATATGACCAAACTGTCATCAAACCATACGTTGTACTATCCATCAGAACGTGCCGATTTAAGTGAACTATTGACATCATGAATGATATCCTCTTTCTTAGGCTGTAACCTGAAGATCTTCAATAACCAGGAGTTTGCGGCACTGCTGGCTCAGTCAGTGAACCAGGGCTTTGAGGCTGTATATCAGTTGACCAGGATGTGCACCATTCGCATGAGTTTCGTCAAAGGCTGGGGAGCCGAGTACAGGTATGGACAAGCTCTGCCGATAGCACAGACATCTTAAATAGTGGATCTTTTTAATCCAAAAATAAAACACAATAAACGTTCTCAGAGATGGGAGTATTAGCTGTATTCAGATTAATTGAGCTATAGTTAAAGAAGGTTAAAATAAATCCTATTATAACTACAAAAAATAATACCTATGGAATTAATAAAATTCAATGCAAAATGAACGTGTCTCATATACAGAAATAAAGTTTCATGTGATAAAATATTTGCTTTGTTGTGCATAAGAATCCCACCATGCATTTAGTCATATTACAAAATAATTTATTGAAGCATCCACATACTTCTCCATGTGAGTAAGTGAGCTAGGCTCCTGATTGGTTCAGATTTTTCAACTCAGGCGGCAGGCGCGAATTCGCATCAAACATGTGAGCGCACAAATAGCACTAACTAAATCATTTGCGCTTAACGCGCCATTTGCGTTCACTTGACGCACGAATGAGGTGTATTCGCGCTGCGCTCTATGCTGACGTGCTATTCGCGTCCGGTGCGAACGTAGCATTATTCCTCTTTGTTTTTTGTGTTAATCACAGTGTGAACCCTAAACAAACTAGGTCTAAATTAATGCTTTTGTTTTTAGTCCATACCAAAAGACCCAAGAGAACCAAACTACAAGTGTGAACAAATCCGTAGTTAACAACGACAGGCATCAACCGAATCAAAAATCTAAGTTACTTTCTAGCTCACATGTGCTTGTTATTCCAGATATTAAAAACAGCAGCTTCAAAACTGGAAAAAATAAAACCATGCCAGGTTTTTTTTGTACAGTATTGGTAGTACTTATGGTTAAAAATAACTTCCAGTGTTACTGTGGCAAAGGTGTAGCTCATGTCAGTCACGTTGTTGCTATGCTACTTTTTCAGGAGCTAATTGATATTCATGAGCCACGCCTTCATTCACCTTAGTACTTGATTTTCCAGTTGCCTATTTCAATGATGCACCCTGTGACCTGTCGTTTGTTGTTGTTGTGTAGACGGCAGACGGTGACGAGCACCCCGTGCTGGATCGAGCTTCACCTGAACGGCCCGCTGCAGTGGCTGGACAAGGTCCTGACTCAGATGGGCTCGCCCTCCGTACGCTGCTCCAGTATGTCCTAATCGACACGATCAAGCTCTCTGTCCCCTGCCCCCCCAAAAACGACTGATTCTACAATCACATCAACCGAAAACAAGAACAACAGACTTACTATAACCCCACCCCCTCTTTCTCTATCATAGTACTCGTGAGCCTTTCTCTATCTCTCTCGTCTCCCGACACTGACGTTCTCAACCGTTCGGACCAGAACGCAGCACTTGCTGTCTCATCAGCTTCATGCACCTTTAATTCTCTCTTATTTTTCTTTCATAAACCCTCAATATTAAATGTATTAGTAGTAGAATATGAAATGTATATTGGTTTTTTTATTTTTATCTGGATGGTTTTCAAGAAGGAGGGAAGGTGCGTATGATGTGTGGAAGTTCAAGAAGGCAGGAAATAACTTCACACACAACACACACACTCACACACATATTTGTAGCAGTAAGGCTCCCCCCCCCCTTGATGAAGTAAATACTTTTCCTGGATGGCGATCCCAATCCGGTCGTTCAAGGAGGTTACTTTTTCTGGCAAAAAGTCTCATTCTTTGTTTTTATACACGTTATGATTGTGTAGATTGGCGCGTTAAGACTTAATCATGTTTTTCGATTTCTTCAGTAATGCCAAAAGATACCTTTTTATTTTATTATTTTCCAATTTCTCCCCCCCAAACCACTATATATGAATGTTGCCTTTGATTCGAGGTATGCTGCTGTAAGACATGCTTCTATTATTCAAATTGATAGGAATGTTTAACGCAAAAAAAAAAAAAAGCCCATCGTTCAATTCGAACTTCAGAATGAACTTTTTATCCACTGGGTGAAATATTCACTAGTTGGCTGTGGAGTGGTTTTCATCAGAAAGTGGCTTCTTTTAAGGACGAACAAATATTTTCAAAGGTTATTAAAATGCCTCATGCAGTCCAAATCTTTAAAAAAAAAAGATGAAAAAACAAACAAACAAAAAATCGAAGTATTTAAGCTTTAAGTGTTAATAAACTAGGTTATCCTTCACACAATTACAAGATTTTTTTTTCCCTTTATCTTTCTTTTAGCTACTTTTTGTATTTTCATGTATTTTTATATATAAATATATTTAAGATCTTTAAAGCTCTCTTCCTTTTTATTAGAATTGAATATTTTTTTAGATCATGCCCTCTTTTTAAAGGAACATGGCTTCATAATGAAATGTCCTATCATACGAAAACGTTATTTAGCATGAAACTTTTATAAGCGCAAATATCTTTTCTCTTCTTCCAATTCAAGCTGTTGTCCCAGTTAACGTTTTGCCCTGATCTTGAACCTGCCCCCCAACCCACACACACACACACACACACACTTTGATTTTCTTTTAGTTGCTTTTCCTCCCATGTTCACAACACGAACACGATACTGTTTAACCCACCGCCCCTCAAACTACGGCTACCCGATGGGGACATTCAGCCTACGGGAACATCGCTGTGTTTTATTTGTTTGCAATTGGGGAAAAAAAAAGACTTCCAAACAGGGAGAACTGTGCAACTTTAGTGTGTGTGCTCGTTGTACAACTTTTACTAATGACTGTGATATAGCTGTCTGTTATTCTTTACTTGTTGTGGCAGTGACCAGGCGTTGCAAGTATCCATTCCCCTCTTCCCACCTCTGTCTCCATCTTTTCCTCCATTGATCTTACTACTCTTGCGATTGTACTTTAAGTGCATCTAGTAAAAAGCTGACGAAGATGTTGTGGCCCGTTTTTAAAGCCCATAAGCGGCCAACAAGACACTGGGGACGTTCTGTTTGCCATTTTTGACTGGGTGTGGAAAGAAAACCAAATAGAACTGAAAGTGGACCAGACATATATGCATATAAATGTGTATATATAATTTTATTTTACTTTTTCTGTATTTTTTTTTTTCTCCTTTTGCAAAGCATTTAACAGTTGGTGAGCTTGTTTTACCATTAGAGAGATGTATTGGTAGGACGTGAACTTCAGGCGATAAGCTTTTCAGGCGTGTTGCATATGCAGACTTCATAAATACACTAATAAAAAGTTTTAATTCTCATGTTAAAGCCTGTCTTTCTCTGCCTCTCTCTTTGTTGCATAAACTATTGGTGTGTTCAAGTCCTCCTGGGAAGTCATTTTCATCAGAGCAAGATAGCAGTGTACCTTCTCTTAAAGGGATGGTTCACCCAAAAATGAAAATTCTGTCAGTATTTACTCACCCTCATGTTGTTCCTACCCCGTAAGACCTTCGTGCTTCTTCGGAACACAAATTAAGAGATTTCTGATGAAATCTGAGAGCTGGATCACTCCTCCATACTTGTCCATAGGCTTCTTGAGGGATTGAAACTTGACGGTCTCGAAAACTGCATCACACACATGACCAGCGTCGCCCAATAGTGAGCCTACGTGTGACGTTTAACTGACTAGAGGCCCAAAGGAAATCAATAGTTGAAATAAAGTGTTTTTTTATGTTTGTTTTTGCGCACAAAAAGTGTTCTCGTCGCTTGATAAAATTAAGATTGAGCCACTGTAGTCACTTGAACTATTTTAACGATGTCTTTAATAATTTTTCGAGGCCGGCAAGTTTCAATCCCTCAAGCAGCCTAGGAGTGATCCAGCTCAGATTTCATCAAAAATATCTTAATTCATGTTCCGAAGATGAACAAAGGTCTTACGGGGTTGGAACAACATGAGGATGAGTAAATACTGACAGAATTTTCATTTTTGTGTGAACTATCCCTTTAACAAACTGCACAATAATACAGCACTGTTTTTAAACTACTTAAGGAAGAACAAAGATTGGCGTCCAGGAGGCATCCGGAACAGATGCCCGAGCCACCTCAGCTGACCCCTCTCGATGTGGAGGAGCAGCGGCTCTAGTCTGAGCTCCTCCCGAGTGACCGAGCTTCTCACCCTATCTCTAAGGGATCGCCCAGCCACCCTGCGGAGAAAGCTCATTTCAGCCGCCTGTATCCGGGATCTTGTCCTTTCGGTCATGACCCAAAGCTCATGACCATAGGTGAGAGTAGGAACGTAGATTGACTGGTAAATCGAGAGCTTTGCCTTACGGCTCAGCTCCTTCTTTACCACAACAGACCGGTACATCGACCGCATTACTGCTGAAGCTGCACCGATCCGTCTGTCAATCTCCCGTTCCATCCTTCCCTCACTCGTGAACAAAACCCCAAGATACTTAAACTCCTCCACTTGAGGAAGGATCTCTCCACCAACCTGAAGTGGGCAAGCCACCCTTTTCCGGCTGAGGACCATGGCCTCGGATTTGGAGGTGCTTATTTTCATCCCAGCCGCTTCACACTCGGCTGCAAACCGTCCCAGTGCATGCTGAAGGTCCTGGTGTGAAGGGGCCAACACGACAACATCATCCGCGAAGAGCAGAGACGAAATCGTGTGGTCCCCAAACCTGACGCCCTCCGGCCCCTGGCTGCGCCTAGAAATTCTGTCCATAAAAATTATGAACAGAACCGGCGACAAAGGGCAGCCCTGCCGGAGTCCAACATGCACCGGGAAGAAGTCTGACTTACTACCGGCAATGCGAACCAAGCTCCTGCTTCGGTCATACAGGGACCGGACAGCCCTTAGCAAAGGACCCCGGACCCCATATTCCCGGAGCACCCTCCACAGGCCGCCTCGGGGGACACAGTCGAATGCCTTCTCCAAATCCACAAAACACATGTGGACTGGTTGGGCAAACTCCCATGAACCCTCCAGCACCCTGTAGAGAGTATAGAGCTGGTCCAGTGTTCCACGGCCAGGACGAAAACCGCACTGTTCCTCCTGAATCCGAGGTTCCACTATCGGCCGTATTCTCCTCTCCAGTACCCTGGCATAGACTTTCCCAGGGAGGCTGAGAAGTGTGATCCCCCTATAGTTGGAACACACCCTCCGGTCCCCCTTCTTAAAAAGAGGAACCACCACCCCGGTCTGCCATCCCAGAGGCACTGTCCCCGACCGCCACGCGATGCTGCAGAGGCGTGTCAACCAAGACAGCCCCACAGCATCCAGAGACTTGAGGTATTCGGGGCGGATCTCATCCACCCCCGGTGCCTTGCCACCGAGGAGTTTTGTTGGTTTAAGTTGATTTGACAAAAGAAAATATGTTGTGATAACAAATCTTTAAAATATTTTTTACGGTGTATAATTTGATCACATTAAATACCCAAAATAATCAGAATCACTTTTTTTATATAACAAAAAATTGACTTGTTTAAATGTCACACTGTTTATTTATCATTTACTAAAAACAGTATAAGCATAATTCAGCACTATAATAGCATTGACACATGGAGGTGCCACGGGGGTTCCCGAGGTCAAGTCTTGATGAATCAGTTTGTATTAAAAGCAAAAATAAAATGCGTAAAATGAACTCCATAAGTGGTGGGATAGCTGTTAAATTACAGCATTGAACTCGTATCATAAAAGTATGTTAAAAAAAACAACTACTGCTGCACTTCCTCACTATGTCCACCAGGGAGCGCAAGAGCTTCAGTCAGGTACTGTTTCTGTGCTGATAAGTTCAGCTGCCCATCAAATGCCTGATGGATATTCAACACTTTCCTGTAGTTTTACCTAAACCCCAATCAAACGCACCTGAACATGCGAATGAGTCTTCAGGGTTGCTGAAGGTCTAATCAAAGTTGGAGCTTGATCAATTGTCATCACCACAGACATCCTACGACATCTATGTATGTGCCGTTTCACCATGTCAAAACGTGTTAGGCCACTTCACTGAATCAAGACCTCACTGTTGATTATGTCCATAGGGGCCTTGATGTTAGGCAAGACCACATAGAGCCGATCGGTTGCTAAAAGCTCAGAGCATTCGTTAATCATTCCTCTCCTGTTAAAACCTCTCTCTGTGGTTGGGATAGGCACTAAGTGGTTTCTCTAAGTTACACTGTAATAGTTCATTATTTATGTGGCATTTAGTCTCGAAGTTATATCTGGTTTGGCAGCATTTCACGGCGTAAACCCCGGTGGCTCGTTAATGTGCACCAGAAAAAAACATTTCCCAAAAACGTATATTTACTTACAAACCGACTTACTGGAAATGCCTTCTAAATTGGCCTATTGGGCTCACAACTTGTTTGATTCGAATGGGCGTACAATCAGAGGACATCAGCGCGTTCTCGATATGGCTCTGGTGCTTGTATTTTACATTCACCCATTTGGCAGACTCTTATCTTGCATTGCACTCAAGGTATATAGATTTTTAATGTGTCAAGCGGTCCCTGTGAATCAAAGCATGACCTTGGCGGTCCTACTAGTGCCATTTTCAGGGAGGCTGTTTTTCGGTAACCCCCGGGGGCCAAACTATTATGTCCAACTATCCATAATGTAAGTACGATACTGTTTTCCATTCAGAGTTTGCCACTTGAAGCCCTCTTCATTCACATGATTGGTTAACTGTGAGATTTCTTTACATAGGTACAATACCTGACTGACCTTCACAACGACTCCAGCGTCTTATTCTGCTTGGATCACTCAAGAGTAGCTCTTTTGTTAAATTTTGGCCATAGGGAAAGAGCAATCATGTATAAGTTATGGCCAACTAATTAAAACCTCATCCTAACCTATACTTGACCCCGACTCTTTTACAATGGGCTCTACGGATCCTTTTGTGCCCTGCCCTACGACTTGTCCAGTGTGAAGTGTTGGATGTCTTCTGAAGTCTTTTTCCTGATACTTTGGCAAAGGTCTGCAGCGGTAACTGGAGCACAAGGGCCCTGCAAAGAATTAATTAGGCTCATATGAGTCTTTCCACCCATGGTAAGCACTGACAATGACCAGGATATACAGGACATCAGGGTGGTCAGGCCTGTGACCCCAAAGAGACCTCGGGAGCCAGGGGTGGTGGAGACGTTAAAGGGATAGTTCGCCCGGAAATTACAATTCTATCATGATCTGCTCAACCATCTTTACTTATAAGAAGGTATGGTGCCATTTAATGGAAACGTCATGTGAAAGTCCTGGAGAGAAATTTCAATGATGGTCCATTAGGCAATTTTTTTCTGGTTTGTGAGGTCATATTCAGTGGCGGATGATTTTCGGAACTTGAAACGACAAACTTTTAGCATAATTTGGACTTGATTATGGGAAGTCCCTCACCCTCAAGAATCAATGCACCTCTGAATACTGTAATGCACATTGTTACCAGCAGCTGGCAGCAGTTATAAAGAAAATGATCTGTGTGGGCCAACAGCCAGGCTGTGAATTTGGGTTGCTCTTATTGGCAGGGTAATTAAAGCAATTACACAGATTATTGCTGTTTTAACCGATTAATACCCTTTCAGTAATGAACACTTTTATTTGCCAGTGAGATGTCTTTAACTAACAGCTCTGTTTTGGTAATCACATGAATAATTTAAAGTGCCAGCTGCTTATTACCTGGCTACTCGCTCTTTAGGTGACTTTGAGTGGGGATAAATCTTAACCATGTTACAGTATGTAGGCAATACAAAGGATGATACAAACACATTGTGAATGCTATGACCTTGTCTTGACCTAAACATGGTGACACTCCAGATAAGAGGGAGGCCACTTAACTGACAGTGACTGTTTGACCTCGGGGGTCAAGCTGAACAACTGGAGTCCTGGACCGGGATGTTTTTGTCATGCTTACCTTTTTTTCGAAGCTGATGTAGATTAATGGAATTACACTCTTTTGAGATGTTTCCTTCGCACGTCATACAAATATGCTAGGGGAGTTTTGAAAAGGGCCTAATACAGAGCCTTGCTGAACCCCTTAAGTTATTTCAAAGCACTAAGTGCGTGAATGGCTGTTAAAAAGTATGCGTCAGAGTTTCCTAACCTACTATGTAAACATTGCACCAGAACAAAGGAGACAAGAGCCATGAGGAGTGTCAATGATACTTGGCTTTGATGCACGGCATATGCAAGAGATACGAGGGGTTGTGAAGATCTGAACAAACGTCCTCTCATTCGCAGTCTTTTTTCTGAGGTAACACCCAAGCGATTTTTCCGTACCCCACTCCCACCCAAAGAGAGGCAGGGGAGAGTTATAAAAAACTGTTACGCTTAATAATTG